ATTTCATGTCTAGTAGGATATTCATGCTCAAAATTCATAGTTTTTTCTTTATCACATTTTTCTAAAAATTTATCAATATTTTGGATCGCCTTTTCAATTTCCTTTCTATTAATCATTATTACTGCTCAACATGAAAACAATAACTAACGTATAATCCCTAATAAATATTAATAAACATTTTTAGGTATGGCTCATACTTTAATAAAAATAAAATAAATAAATTCAAAATATTATATTAACCTTGAAGATCAGATACTACTAATATATTTTTTTTTTATATATTTAATATTTTAATAGATTTAATTCATCGACAGGATACAACAAGTTAAGTAAAGGTCAAGTCAAGGTCAAGTGAATGATTCCCGCGCGCGAGCCCACCCGTAATGGCGTCAAAACTACAATTTATATGCATTTTCATTAGCTAACCACAACATAACAGCCAACAACAAAAATGGCGTCAAAAATGAAATTTATATACATTTGCCAAATATTACCTTACCACAAGATATCAAATTACCGACTCAAAAAGATATCGAATTACCGGGCCACCAACCTATTAGTTAAAAATTATGCCGCCACATTTTTTCCAGAGGGCGCTCATACCACAAGATATCAAATTACTGACTCAAAAGATATCGAATTATCGGGTCACCAACCTATTAGTTAAAAATTATGCCGCCACATTTTTTCCAGAGGGCGCTCATACCACAAGATATCAAATTACTGACTCAAAAGATACCTATCGAATTATCGGGTCACCAACCTATTAGTTCACAATTCTGCCGCCACATTTTTTCCAGAGGGCGCTCATACCACAAGATATCAAATTACCGAAAGATATCGAATTACCGGGTCACCAACCTATTAGTTCACAATTCTGCCGCCACATTTTTTCCAGAGGGCGCTGATGCGTAATACACTGCCGCCAACTGAAAATGACCGGCAAGTGGCGCCTCCTGGCGGTAGAATTTGACATCGTGGCGCAGGAACCCCTTTGTTACTCTACTACTAAACATTTTTTTTATTGGCTTTAAGGTTGTGTAATCTACGGTATAAAAGTAGGTTTTATTTAGGTACAAACTACGTTCTAAATACTTAGTTAATGTACATACATAAAACGTATTATCGGGTGGAATTTGGACGTACTTAGAACGTACTTAGGATGTACATAAGATATCGCAGTACGTACATACAATGTAAGGTACGTCGAAGGTCGACGTACTATGTAGGTACATAAAATGTAAACTGGTTGTTTGGGTTAGTGTGGAAACCAAGGTAAGTTATCAAAGTATTAATAAAATTTCACTACGCACTAGTTCTTTTCAAAGCCTTATAAATAAAAATTTCTTAATTAGATTTTGCAGGTTCTTGTAAGTTTAATCTTTTACGGATATGGTACCTATCAAGAAGGAGTTGGACGAAATTTGTTGGCGGCAGTAAGTCAAGTAAGTATCAGTCGCAGCATATATGAAGTAACCTCTGCTTGAACCGTAATGAAATCATGCAACGGTTAATAAAGTTCCCACAGAATGTACGTGAGCTACGGGATCTTAGAGAAAGGTATCTTTTATAAATTTATCAATATGAATAATGATAATATTAAAATATAATATTTTAATTGAAGGTTCTTTAGAAAATATGAGTTTTCGGGAACGGTTGGCTGCGTTGATGGTACCCATGTAGCAATAGTACCGCCCAACATTGACGAACATATTTATGTCAATAGAAAGCACTATCACTCATTAAATGTACAGTTGGTAGGTATTGACAGACCTTATACAGTAAGACCTGCTAAAACAGTTTGCCATATTAGGTGTGTGATGAAAATTTGGAAATACTAAGCATTAATAGTAGATTTCCGGGCAGTTCTATATGGAGCAGTTATATATGGAGAAACTCACAAGTCTCGAGAATAATGGAACAAGTACATATGAATATAGGAAATGATAATTTTTTTCTGTTAGGACACAAACTGAATAAGTGACAACCCTGATTAGTTCCTGTCATTATTGATCACGGCATTTTGTAGGGTACCCGCTTTGCCCATGGCTCCAGGTACTGGAATGAGTTCAATATAATCCCTATTTTAAAGCAGGGAAAGAATCCAGGGGAGTTTTACAGCTATCGTCTAATCGCCCTCTCATCATGTGTTCGAAAACTTTTCGAACATGTGGTCAGAGATAGACTGTAATGGTGGGTGGAGAGCCGTGGACTTATTCCAGCTTTTTAATTTGGATTCAGAAAGTCACTTAGCACTATGGACAATCTTTCCATTCTAACCACAGATATTCTGTAGAGTTTCCTAGAAAAAAATCCCACACCTTGGCAATCTTTCTGGATATATCCTCAGCATACGATAACGTTCTCCCTGACAAGTTGGTAGAAAACCTAATTAATTTGAATCTTTCCCCAATTTTTGTTAAAATTGTATGAAATCTCATATATAAAAAAACTATATTTTTGACTACCAATGATGGTACAAGATTAGAGACAGTTTCACATAAGGGCCTCCCACAAGGGTAATATTTAATATCTACACCAGGGGAATTACTCACGATTTATAGGGGACTTATAAGATCTAGATTGGAATATGGATGTTTTTTGTTCAATTCACGTACAAAGGCACTTTTAAAAAAGTTAGACATGGTACAATATTTAGATTTGAGAATCTGAGGGATGATGAAGTCCTCTTCCACTAATTCCCACCAGATCGAATCTGGAGATCCCCCATTCAATTTAAGAAGGCAATTTTTATCCGATAAATTCATATAAACCCAAATATGCCTACTGTCCTTGTAAAAGGACACATAAATCTAGGAATAATTATATTTAATTTTGGGCATTTAAACTTTTAATTGATAGATGGCGCTGGTTTGTTTGTCTTTATAGAGACATTGTTTAAGTGTTTTGATATTTCAGTTGAGGTTAAAACGTGATAGAGAGTTTATATATAGTGAACATTTTTAAAAATGGATAGCCCAATTGATCTAAAACTTGTTGGTTAAGTAAATATATATAAAATACCTACAAATACATTTAACTACCGTTGTATTTTATAAAACTGTTACCCAGGTTTGGGTTGGAACTATTTAGTTAAGAAATTATTAGTAATTGGGGGCCCATTTTGATATTTGATCGGGTGTGTTTTAAAAGGACAGTAGGCTTATACATCATATATTTTTTCAGAGGTCTAACATTTGATGAGTTACTTCATGATTTGGAGGACGATAGTGCTAATTTTCCTGACGATGTAGAAGTTGCCCTTTTGCCACCCACAAATGCATGCGATCCGGTCACGGATGAAGATTCCGGTGACGAAGATTATGTCAACGTAAATAACTTACCCGGTTCCCAACTACGTGCAGAAGCGGAAATCTTCCATGATTTGGATTCTTTGCAAATATTTTCACCAAGATCTTCACCTACGCCAGTTACGATTCCTGAACCAGCAAACATTAGTGATGAATATAGTTCTGAAGACAATTTGCCGTTGAGTGAAACCAGACCGCGAATAAAAAAAACTAAAAGCACCAAGAGCGGACCAATAAAAAGGAGTTATAAATGGGAAAAGCGTGACATTGACCTGCCTAATATAGAAATACCAGTGGTTCATAATGTTTTAAATAATAATTCACCAATTGAACTTTTTGAATTTTTTTGGAGTGAAGAAATAATAAATATGATTTTAGAATTTTCCAATCGGTACGCAAGTCAACATAATAAACCGGCTAATATTACTAAAGAAGAAATCAGATGTTTTTTTTGGTATTTTATTGGTCAGTGGATATGTTCACATCCCTCGTCGCAGGATGTTTTGGGAAAATACAGCAGATGCCCATAACAATTTAGTTTCAAATGCCCTTTCTAGAGATCGATTTGAATACATTTTTAGTAATATACATTGCTGTAATAACGCTTCTTTGGATAAATCAGACAGATTTACAAAAGTGCGACCATTGATAAGAAAAATGAATGAATCGTTTCAAAAGTTTGCCCCTTTACAAGAAAACCATAGCGTTGATGAAGCAATGGTACCCTATTTTGGTCGGCACGGAGCAAAACAATTTATACGTGGCAAACCTATTCGTCATGGGTACAAGTTTTGGACTGGTGCTATTGATTCAGGATATGTTGTATGGATTGAACCATACCAGGGCGCTAAGAGCGAAATAAAGGTCCAATATAGAGAGTTTGGGTTAGGACCATCAGTTATTCTTCAATATGCAGAGATTCTTTTGTCAATTAGAATTTATCCCTATCATATTTTCTGTGACAATTTTTTCACAACAATTCCTCTAACAGATGAACTAAAAAAGATGAACATACGATTAACAGGCACCATAAGAGAAAACCGAACATCAAATTGTAGTTTAGTTAGTACAGCCGAGATGAAAAAAAAGAAGCGAGGATACCTAGACTATAAATCCAATAAAAATGGGACAGTAGTTGTAAAGTGGCATGATAAAAGTTGTGTTTCCTTGGCATCCACCTGTACATTAAGGTGGGTCGAAATATTTTTTTTTCAAATTTTTACAAGCGCTACCAAAAAAAAGTTGTGTGGTAAGGAAACAAAAAATTACGTTAAAAAAAATTATAATCGGACAAATTTGAAAGGGCCAAAAAAAAAAGTTATTCAAATTTGACAGCGCTAGTGAGTAAACTATTTGTTATTGTCCCAATGTTACCCAAATTTTTTTTTATTAAAAACTAAACATTTTCAGCCGACTGGCGACTGGCTCTCGTATATACTCGCGTGCTTGCTATTTCAAGGTCATTGATTTTATGATGGGTAGAGGGAGAAGTAAACATCTCCTAACTCGTGACAGGTAAAATACGGTGCCTTTTATTCAAATTCCACAACGTTTATTTAGTGCGTAAAAGCGTTAAAGACTTAAAGTGCTATAATTTTTTGATAACGGTGTTTTAGATAGTGAAGTTTTTAAAGTAGTGACTGTAAGAAATTTAACATAGTGGCAATAAACTATAAAGTGACATTGAAAATGGCCAAACCCTTGGTCAAAACCCGGTCAAATCTTTCTTGTCCTATATTTGGTAGCGCTAAAGACATTCTCCCAGAAGAAAATCAGCTACCAAGTTATGAGGATTTGATGAAATGTTATTTAAGCGTGCGACTTGAGTTAAAAGGTGATTCTAGTAAACAACCAGCAAATGCTACAGTTGCAAATATTGTAGCCAGTAAAGTAGAGCATGTATGGAAACGAGCTTCCTTGCCAACTTTATCTCGCGAGAGAATAATTAAACTAATTCTTGCATATAATCTCAAGTATCAAAATATTATTAAACCTATCAAAGGGAAAATTTCAAAATTTTTACAAGCTAAGTTGAATAATTTCCATAAAGACTCAAACAAATTGTTTGATATATCAACTTGTAAATGTCTTGATTTAGAACGTTGCTCTTGTGAAAAGGAAAGAAAAGTGCCGAAAGCAGAATGGTCCTTTTTGCAAGATCAAAAGTCTCATCGTAAAATGAAAATAGGAGGAGTTGACGAGATCCTAACCAAGCAGATACAAAAAAGAGAAGAAAGAAAATGGTCCTAAAAGGAGTGCCGGCAAGAAAGAGCTAATTCCAAGTACAAGCGATATTCAAAATACAACTAAAGAGAAAGAGCCAATGCCAAGTACAAGCGGTATTCAAAATACAACTAAATTGCTGCAAATAGGTATAAATACGAGCGATAATTCCACTGAGAGTTCTTCGGACGAGGAATACAAATGTCCGGTTTTAACGAAACAAAGAAAATTCTCGACACCCAAATCTCAGCAAATGAGGTGCAGCCTAACTCAAACAGCGAAAATGGCAGACTTGACCGGCACATCTAATAGGGCAGTAGCTAAAATAGTTTATGCCGTTTTGGAAGATTTTAAAATAATTTCTAGAGAGGATCAGTCTAACGTAATTGATAAAAGTAAAATACGCCGAGAGCTAAGCAAAAACCGTAAAAAGCTTCAACAGCAACTAGAAAACAAAGACATAAAAGGACTATATTTCGACGGGAGGAAGGACCAAACAATTTGTATTAAAAATAGTAAAAAGACAATACAACAAGAAGAACACATTACAATTTTAAAAGAACCTGGTAACATTTACTTTTCCCATGTGTCTATAAAGGGCTCTGCTACCGCAGCAAATATAAAGAATGAACTTCTTCAATGCTTAAACAAGTATGATACAGATATCAGTAATCGTGATAGGTTGTGACGGTACAAATGTGAATACTGGATGGAAGGGAGGTATTATTCGACTAATTGAAAATGATATTAAAAGGCCCCTTCAATGGTGTATCTGTCTGCTCCATGCCAATGAGCTACCATTAAGGCACTTATTGCAAAGTTTGGATGGTGATACCAAAGGACCTTACAGCTTTTTGGCGCCAATTGGGGCTCTTTTAAAACACTGTCAAGACATGCCAATTGTACAGTTTAAACCCATAAACACATCTCTTCCTCAACTCGAACCAGACGACTTAAGTACAGATCAGCAGTACTTATATAAGATTTGCATAGGCATTCAAAATGGAACCATTACTCCCAATTTGGCAATGATAGATCCAGGGAAGATGTCACATGCACGGTGGCTTACTACAGCCAACAGAGTGCTACTTTATATCGCTACTAAAAATCCGTCTCCCAATCTAGTTATTTTTACCGAATTTATTTTAAAGGTCTACGCACCTGTTTGGTTTGAAATTAAAACAAAACAACATATTTGCGATGGAGCGAGGTATCTGTGGAAATCTATAAATGCTTCAAGAGGATTCCCAGATAATGTTGAACATGTAATTGACAAAGTCTTTGCCGACAATGCATATTTTGCCCACCCCGAAAATATACTTTTGGCAATGCTTACCGACCCACGTTCATACATAAGAGAGTTAGCTGCAAGAAGGATTAAAAAATGTAGGATGCAAACTAATAAAACGGTCAGAGTTTTTAGGGTACCATTTATTAATTTAGATGCTGACGATTACACAAGTTTAATAGATTGTCAGAAAACGATCACCGAACCGCCATTAACATTTAACGTAACCAACGAAGTTTTAGATAATATTGTGTCCAGAAAAGAAGTCCTAAACTTTGAAAAATTTCCGTGTCATACACAAGCGGTAGAACGCTGTGTTAAATTAGTCACTGAAGCTTCTACTAAGGTTTGCGGAGAGTCATCCAGAGACGGTTACATTAGATTAAAATTAGAGGGCCGAAAAATTTTACCAACTTTTGATAACAAATCGCAATATTTTGAAAAGCGAAATGATACATAAGTTGCTATTCAGAAAGGGCGGGAGGGTCCCCAAATGGGAGGAACTCTAGGTGCAGATACCTCCGCGTGGTGAGTTCTGGGTTGATTTAGCGATGTATAATTCTGCTCTTAATTATAAATCACTAAATCAAGCAAAAGGCTGCACAAAATTTAAAAAAAGCATATTTCTTTGAATTATCGTCTGCGTTACAGCCCGAGGGACTGGTTAAAAATTATTTATTTTGGTCCAGTTTTTTTTTACAGTACTGATAAGCCCTCAAGAAAACTTTATTTAAGTAGCGCCACAAAATTTTTTGAAAAAAAAAATTGGCCCATGGGCCCGGTTAAAATTTGTCCAAAAAATTCAATTTTTTTTAGGAGCTTTTTAGCGCGTTTATTTTTAAAACTTTTTTTAAAAACCGGCCTGTTTCGACCCACCTTACTGTACATCCTTTACATTCGGTTAACCGATATTCTGTAAAAGAGCAAAAAAAAAATAAAAGTCGATCAGGCCAAAAATATATTTGAATACAACCGTCACATGGGTGGGGTTGATAGGGCTGATCAGAACATAAGCCTTTATAGGGTAGCTTTTAGAGGCACAAAATGGTACATTCCTATAATATTTCACATGCTTGATTTGTCTGTACAAAATGCCTGGCAACTTCACAGACAACAAAATGGTAAGCTGGACCATTTGACCTTTCGCAGAAGGATTGCGCTGGCAATTTTGGAAGGTCACCAAAGAAAATTTGCAAAAAGATCAAGACCGTCTCTATTAGAAAATGCAGATTCTAGGTATGATCGAATGGACCATTTGATCAAACCCCAAGAAAAACAAACTAGATGTAGGCAGTGCCACAAAAAAGTTTCTACCAAATGCGAAAAATGTGATATAGCCCTACATATTGCATGTTTTAAGCCATACCATACTCCAAAATAAAAATATTTGTTTTGTGTCACACTATACTAGTTCTAAAGTTTGATTTTTTAATTATTTATAAAAGTTTATATTATGTTCGTATTTAAATAATTTTTTGTATTCATATGCCTACTGTCCTTTTAAAAGAACACCATTTTTTTCATTCTTCCCATGATGTAAATTTTAAAAACCTCGAAAAACATCATAAATACATACCAAATACCATTAAATTTAAAAAAAAAAAAATTTATTTATAAAAAATTTCCGGCATATCTGGGTTAAGAAAACTAAGTAGGGAAAATGACCCTGTCATTACAGGGCTTCTTAAAATTAAAGACTAAGTTCTCAAAAATTGTAATTTAAAATACATTGTTTATTTAAGTCAATATAAATGTATGAAGATAAGCTTGACCTGTTTTCCTCAAATATAAGATATCCTATATTTTGTTATGATTACTTTACGCAGATATCGAAAATTCCTGTAATTTTGGATTGGGGAATTAATAAAGCACAAACCCATTAATAATAAATAAATAATTTAATAATAATAATTATTGTTTACTGGCTACAGACTGGGCAAATTGAATTCATATATTAGTCCTGGAGCATAAAGCAATAAAATATTCTCCGTGGGATTTGTTATGAAGGGATGATGGGACTATATGGGATAGCTTTTTTATAACTTTTTGAGTTGTATGGTACCGGGTGTTTACCTTGAAAATATGTCTGGTGGTGTTTATGGCATTTCTTATCCAAAATGTCCACCATTTTCGACATTCGCTTATAAAATGAAAAATAATTAGTTTTTTTTGTGCCCTTTGAAATAAATTACATTTGACATTTTTTGATTGTCATATGACCGTGTATCGAAACAATTGTATAATTTTATGGGCCGTCAAATTTGATGGCCCATCAATTTTTTTAGGGTGTCCCAAAAAAAAAGAATATTTTGTTTCTCTGTGAAAATATGTTGGTTTGTCATGTTTTAAGAGCCCTGTCAAAAGATCAGCACCATTAAAAAAATTTTAGGGGTCGCTCAAGATTTTTAAAAATTACCAAAATCGTCAAAAATTGGATTTTTTTTAATTTTAATTTTTTTTCTCGTTCCGATATTATTTTTTAATTTAAAAATAATAATGATTCTGAAAATTTCAAATCGATATTTTAATTTCTAAAGGTCGCTCAAGATTTTTTTAACTTTCAAAGTAGAGTATTTTGAATGTTTTCGAGCGACCTCTGAATATAAATATCAACGAACTTTTAGCGACCTTTAGAAATCAAAATATTGATTTGAAATTCACAGAATTTTTATTATTTTCAACCTAAAAAATAATATCGAGACAAGAAAAAGAATTAAAATAAAACAAAAATTCAATTTTTGACGATTTTGAAAATTTTTAAAAATCTTGAGCGACCCCTGGGGCATTCCACGTTACTCGGTAATTTTTGTCCCGCCCGTCACAATTAAAAATTGTGAGTAAAAACCACAAGTTATAAAATTAATATTTTATAATATTATTTTTATTGTGCTTATAACTTATTAAAAGCATAATAAAACAATATTTTTAAATAAATTTTATAACGTGTAGTTTTTACTCACAATTTTTAATTGTGACGGGCGGGACAAAAATCCCCGAGTAACGTGGAATGACCCCCCTACAAAATTTTTAATCGAGCTGGTATTTTGAAAGGGCTCTTACAGCATGATAAACTAACATATTTTTACAAGAGACAAGAAAAAAAAATATATTATTTTTTTTGGGACACCCTAAGCAACAGTGACTTTTTTGAAATAAAACTGTTTTAGCAAATTTAAGTAGTTTTCTTGGTTGCTTATAAATTAAGTGTGCCTTGACTTTATCAATTTATGTTTACATAGAACTGTCAAAAGTATTTTACTAAATACTTAATTTTAACAGTTTTCTTTTAAAATATTTACTATTACCTATTTAATTACCATTTGCTGTTAATTATAATGTATTACTACACTGTTTTACAAGGAAAAATAGAAACTTTATTTTAAATTTTTAGGGTGATTTTGGTGCGCTAAACACAAAAAACTTAATCATTTTTTTCTTATTTGGGCCATTCACCCAGATGACGGTATATTTTTGTTTTTTAATTTAATATTTTACTTAAATCAGCATCGAGAGGGTATGGCAAATCCGATATATGCCAAACCGATATATGGTTTAAAAGGTGGTTAAATTTCGCACCCAACGGTAAAAACATCGTTTTAATCGAATTAAAAATAGCTGAGTTACAGCTCATAAAAGTTCAAATTTCTTGCAAAATGGCTCCAAATCGATCTATGCAAAATATAAAAATATTACAATATGTCAGTTTTAAAAGCCAATACATTCTTAACCATTTGAGATAAAAAAAAAATGTTTTTAATATTTTTTTTCCTTTTTTATGGTTATTTTAAGATTATATAATTTTTTTTAATAGGACCACTAATTACGAAATTATGCGACATTTTATAAACGCATACCTGAAATAACAGTTAGGTATCGGATTATTGATGTCATAAAAATTTTGACACATTTTTAAACAAAACACCCGATAATACACTACTGCCTTGTGTATAAAAAACTGATTTTAGATAGTTTCATATTCCCTTCACAAAAAATCCCACGGGATGCACTATGCTCCAAAACTATATACACATACGGCTCTTTCCAAAAAAATTTAGACAGCACTTCATTTGGCATATTGCATATTGAAAAATCATTTTTAACGAATCAATCAGAAATCAATACATATTCTTGTAGGGAATTGAACGATCTACAAAAAAGATTTGATATGCTTAGTCAACTCGTTTAAAAGTTCAACCTCAACCTCAAATAGTAAATGATTACTTTTATAGTTTTTCACACTCTATCACGAAATATTGGCTTAAAAACATGAAATTTCATATTTTTCGTAAAGTTTATCGAGTGTTCTTCGGTAAAACAATAAAATATTAAGGAAATATCAATAATCGTAAAAAAACGTTTTTTATAAAAATTTAAATTTTTTTATCAATGTAGTAATGACAAAAAAATTAATCATTTTCTTAAAAAATAATAAATATTCTATTTCCAATTGACTATTAGGTAATGTAGAGTAATAAAAGCCATGTTTCAATAATTTTTCAATTAAATTAAAAAAATGTATTTCATAACTTGTACTTTTTTCACAATCTTAGAATCAAATTTCTCTTGTTACAAATGGAATATTTTTGACGGTGGTTTTTAATTACTCGCAATAAGTATTGCAACTGTTCTTCATTTTTAGTGAGACATTTTTGTACTGCAACTTCTCTTTCTGCTACATCATTGACAACGCTGAGACGTTTGAAAAATACTAGATTATTTTGATAGCTTTCATCCTGTGTCCAAAATTCTACATTCTTATCAATAAAGTCAATGGATAAATCAAATATATTAAATATAGACAATGATTTTTTTGAAATAAAATCACTTATGTATTTTGATAATAATGTATCTAAATTTCCTGGCTCAATTTCAAATTACTTCTTTCTTGAATCAGTGCTTATTTATTTTTGTCGAATAGGGGCACATTATCGTTAAAATGAAAAATAATTGCTAACTACTCATTTTTATACCAGAGGTGATTTACCATTTTCAAACAAGATGCTTTTGATATGGAACTGTGTACATCTTTGTACTTAATTAGGTCTTGCATGAAGGTCAAGTCATTGTATGGAGCCAGAATCGCAGATAGAGCAGTAAACCAAGCTTTTAACTATATTTTTTACAAAAAAAAATACATATTTGACGTAATCCGTTGCTTTCTCGCGCTGTTAGTTTAAATTCTTCTTTAAAAAGAAATATTTTCAGCGATTAGATGGCTTTTGCCATCCAACAAGCACGATAAATTTGCCTGGATATTTGAATGAAAAGTTATTTTTTGGCTTTTCCCCCCAAAAAATCAGTGATAGCTCTAAAAGCTCTTTATAATCGTCTCTCGATTGACGAACCTGTCAAGAATGCATACAAAATTTAATTTAAATTATCCAATAAAGTAAGGAAGATCCGACCAATTCATCAAAAAAATATTGCTTGTATAATTTTTATGAAGTCAAATTTATGATTTCATACTGGTAAATTTTCTTTAACCACAGTAACTAACGTTTGTTTGCTACCTGACAACACGTCAATAACGATACTTTCGTCCATCCCAGCCTTGAAATTGGATTCATCAAGGTCATTCCATTTATTTTTAAATCTAGAGAAGAACTGAACGTTTGGGCCTGATGAGGTCGGCCAATATACCTCAAACACACCCTTCAAAACGAATTCGAAGATGTGATGGAGACAAGTTAAATAGATCAACTTTTGATTTAAAGCTTTTTCTATTGCAGCACAAGTCCTATGATAAATTCCTAGAAAACGAGTTAACCAAACAAAAACATGAGTGATTTAGATAAATAGCTTATATATCATTTATAACTAACCTGTATTAACAGCTGCTGTGTCAAAACACATTCCTTTGACATATGGACTAACACCCCACTGCTTCAAAGTTTCTAGGATGGCAACTGCTTGATCATTGGCACATCCTGACTTCAGCTTTGGCACAACCAACAATTGTTCAACATCACATGATGTCAGAATGATTGGAAGTCTATCTACAGTATCGGTCTGTTAACAATTTTCCGTCCCAGTGCACAATATAATTATCTTCAAACTTCAACTCATCCTTTAACCCCTCTACAATTTTTTTACGAAAGCTATTCGACTTCGGTGGATTGTTTTATAACTGATATTTACACTATTTAAATAAAACGCCCACTTTTCAAAGTCGCAGCAAGAATGTACGTGGCATTCCTACTAGAAACGTTTGCTCGATCTAACTAATTCCGGTGTCATCAAGTAAATTTTAAAAAGAACAGGTAGTGTTAATTCATTTTCAAAGTCCGAGACCGATTTTGAAGTTAAGCTTAGGTACTGATGACTGAGATGGTATTATGTCAGATTCTTGCCTAGTTATCGCTCTTATCTGCTCATTTTGTGGCTGTTCAACAATTGAAAATTTGAATACTTTTATAGGCAAACGAAAGTTATTTGATGTACAAAAAAATTATTGACCAATTTTAGTAAAAAATAGAACTAAGTATTAAAAATTTGAAGTAAATGAAATTATTATTCGTCTAATTGTAGTTTTTCAAAAAGAGTATACCTAGCTACGATATTTTCCAATAAAATTAAAAACTCATTATAAAAATAAACTAATAATTAATACAGTCAATAAGTTAATTATACAATTGGATTATTTAACATTTACTTATATCGAGTTATTAGCACTATAAATATGATAACATGTTTCATCAACTGTCATCAAATCTTCTTCAGTTTTTGTTTGTGAACTTAAATTAAAAATTCCTCTTCGATTTGAACTTGTTTGCCCCTCTAGAAAAATCTTTTCATCATAACCGATTGCTTCAAGGCTCTTCTGATCCGTAATATGAAAGAGTTCACTCAACTTTTTATGAAAAAGAGACCGATTTTTTATGTTTACTTTTTCACTTGCAATGTAAACTTTGTAATTTTTTCACAGCTTTCTGTCTTCCACAAATAAATATTCCCGCAGAATGCCATTGTTTTTTAACTTTAAGAGCACTTTTGTAACTTTATGGTATTTAATGCACTTTCATTAATTGTCTTCAATACAGTATGACAAAACATCCTTAACTGTAGGTAATCTACGGCTAAAAACGTTCGGGTTGGGAGTATCAATTAAATAAATAGGCTTGCAGCTCATTTTTAAACAGCAAAAAGATTCAACATTAAAGATTTTGATGAGAAAAACTAAAACAGTAAACTTTACTATATTCTGAGATAATAATTGAATAGAATTCAAACTACACAAAATCTCACACAGTATACAAAGTTGGGCAAGATAAACGTAACCTAAATTATTTACATATAAATAATACCAGGTGGCGTTCAAATCGATAATTATAGTAATTCTAGCAGTAAAATATGAAAATAGTAATAACTTAATTTTAAATAACGAATTAACAAATATTCAAAATAATAAAATTAAAAATCTTTACAGTACTTCCAACTACTTTAAAATTTCTTTTCAGCGCTTTTTATTTGGTTCCTGCTAAAACTCATAGATTTTTCTTTATAAATTAGTCGAATAAAAACGAGAAAAGTCACGGGTCTGAAATAAAATATTCACAATATTCGTTTCTTATATTTTGTGCTGCTTGTAAAGATTTCCTTGCTACATGCCTAATAGGTAACATCGATTCAGTTGGTTGTGAATCATTTCTCCACAATCCATTTCTAATAGTTCCTGAATCTACAAGTCAAATGATCCCGGTGGTGTATTCTTATTTCTTGATTCTGCATTTGGATGTAGGTAGGTTTGCACAATTTTTTCTACTTTTGATGGTTCTAGTAGTATAGGTTTTCTAAAAATACCCTTCTTGCTCGGCTCAGACGGTAATTAAATATGCGTTGCATAGACCCGCGTTCCTGGTGTCCAGAGTACGGTTTCATTATATTTGGTAATAACGGAAAAGCGCCTTCGGCTACAAAAACATACGGTATAGGTTTTTGTCTTGTGTTGTGTTTTGGGGCAGGCTAAGCATTTCTTTGCTCAAGGATTTGGCAAATCCGGTATTTTTAAAAACTCCCCCTATCTGATATACGCCCTTGGCAACCAATGTACAAGTAGGTGAAATTGTAGTTCGCATCGACTATTGCAAAGAGAACTATGCTGAAGGTGCCTTTATAATTAAAAAACTCGCTTCCGCTATATTTGGGTAATTTTATGACAATATGCTTTCCATCCATGCTTCCCATACACATTGGGAAGTTCCATCTTGTGTTATAATCATTCGCCAACTTTTGCCACTGCGCTGAGTTTTTGGGCACCTAAAATAGAAAGTATATTTATTTTATTTATGTCATTTGGACACTAGGTAACACACTTAGAATTTTATTTACTTTTAAGCAGTTTTTCGTATTTTAGGGAAGTAAATCTTCAGATGGAGAAACTCTCAGAGACCCAAAATTCTTCTGACATCCCAAGTGACATCGAAGGTAAAGATGAAAGATCTAAAGTGGTTGAAAAACTTAACTCCGCTATACCAACGCAAACTAAAACGCTTTCAGTGCAAAAGGCTTCAACATCAATCACACCACAAATTGTGCATTTTGAAAATCAGTTTACAACACCAAAAGTAAAAACCAAAAATAAAAACAATACAAATATGGAGCAGGACAGTGAAAGCACACAAGTATTGCATATGATGAAATCAATGTATGAAAAAAGAGAACGTGATGAATATGATGTATTTGGAGAGATGGTAGCTCATAATATTAGAAGCTTAAGATCGGAATACTTAAAGATTACCGTGCAACAGCAGATTACAAGTGTATTGTTTGATGCTGATGTTTGATGCATATGCCACCTTCCACAAAGCAATGCACAATCTTTTACCCTAGTGCCTTCACCTTCCCCATCGTCATTGGTCACTACCTTATCTGACAATTCAACACTAACTCCGAGCTCTGGGCAGGAAGTTCAACAATTTACTATGTTAGAAACTTCAAATAACATGAACCCAAGAAAAGAAAATATAAATATTTTGCAAACAGCTTTTGCGTCGGTTTTTAAATTAAACAATAACCCATGCCAAAACAACTCAGACCAATACGAGTACATATATTATTATTTTAAAATGCCAGGACACTTTCTTGTTTTTCTATGAGAATGTCAAAACTAATTTTTTTCGAATTATTTTTTTCATAATAAATGAAAATAAATATAGTGCTACTTTTTTATTGCTTACCTTTATATAGTCAGAAAGAACTTCGTTTAGGGCATCACACACTTCTGGTATAATCCGTGATATGGAAATAACTACATAAGTACATTAAGCTTTGATAACCCAGTAGCAAGGAACCGCAATGTTACTGCTAATCGATCTTTAACAGAAATTGAATCTCTAAAGTTTGTGTTTTCCTTTGCAACTTTTTTTCCAATTAATATTATAAGCTCTTCAAAATCAAAGGTAGACATTCTCAGAAAATTATGAAATGATGAACGTAGTTCCCCATGCAGTCCAATGTCATCGATCATAAGTTGTGCAGCGCCATCATTTACTCTTCTAAACAAAAATGTTCGAAGCCTATATCTGTGTTGGCGTCGTCTTCTTCTCCTAAAAAATATAAAATTTAATTATTAATATACTATTGGTACCTACTAAAATATAATGTAACCTTACAACTGTTCGGTTACAGTTTTTTAAATATAAAAGCATATTTGAGTTTGTTTGCACCGGCTACCACTACCACAGTGAGTTTTGGTTGTTATTGACCCTGGTTTAAGGTCGCGTTGGGAAATTTCTGTAAATTCACATGCAACATGGTGAGTGTGATTTGATTTGATTTGTGTCTCGTAGATGCGTTCAGTGGCGTTATAAATACGTTTTATTTATTTCATCGGCCCTGAGGCGATATATTTTTCTATTTTAAAAACATTTTAAGAGATAAACCGGAGAAATCCGTAAGTATTGACAGCCTAGGTAATAGCGAGACTAATTGTCATATTAATCCATTAGGGTTTCTGTGAGGTGCTCCTTGGAAGGTCTTTGAAGGTTATTTGACAAGTCCTTACGGATTCAGGAAATGGGATCAAGTCTGACCCCCGATAGACTAACCATGTTCTCCAGGCCAAAAGGCTTTCCCATGTAGTGGAAGCCCCCATGTGAATACAACAATGTTAACCAAGAGCCAACGATACTCCAGGGATGGATCCAGGTTTATTTTTCTTTAATTAATTTAAAATGTTTTTACTATTTTCTGAAAGTCTTCGACTTGGTAAATTATAATTATAAATGAAGGGGTACAATTGGTTTACATGTAAACAAATAGCTATTTGGGTTTTAATTATTAGTTTTTATAGTGATCACGAAATAAACATATAAGAATATTCTTTTAAACATATAAATATAAAATCATATTAAATCATATTAAACATATTTAACATATTAAATTAAGTAAGTAACTGAAAATTGAGTTTTAACTTCTTGCCTACCACCAAAAGTTAATTTCAGCTCTGTAAAGTTGTAGTGGCGCACTAAAAAAAGTATGGAAAATCACAACTTCACAACCTAGCTCCCAGACACTAGAGCTGCCGGTGCTGTATCTCCAACCCCAAGTTGGTTATACACGGTGTCCCTAAACTTATTGGCATAAATTTAGGAAAAGATTGAGCAAGTCAAAATAAGACGAAAATCCAAATAAATATTTTTCCTAATTACGTATGTTTAAAAAATACAGTGTTACTTATATCAGTTCTTTTAATATAACCTCTACTATGGTAGTCTTGGAAAGGTGATATTTGGCGAACAGTCACTTACTACCAAAACACATATTTACACATAATAATTATAATAATTGTTTGAGTGAACACAGTGTCGTAGAAACGGGGGTTGCTTTAAGCTTATTGTCCCATACAAACTTTGAGGTTAGGATTTTATAACATTTGATGCAATTTTTCGATTCCTCAGTTCGGCTACACTGATAAAAATGGTATCCTTGTGGCAAAAGAATCCATTCATTTGAAAAATATTGATTTAATTCAAAGAAACTGTATTTAAACTGCGCACCACTCAATGTGTCGCGACCAAAAAGTTCGTCCTTTTTCAAACCGACATATCTTTTTTGTTTCTTGAACGATTTTATTTTGGTCTGTGATGTCTGCTAACCCCATCCTCTGACAATTCATGCTATAGATATTAAGCACACGGTTCTTCAACCTACAGGGTGATATGTAAAACGGTGAAAAATTTCAATAACTTCATCCAAGCCCCGTTTGTAAAACAATAATTTTTTTTTCGTTTTTACTTTGAAATAATGAAGTATTATGTGTTACCTTAAAACGTTTTTCAAATTTTTCGAATTGGAATCTTAGCAACAAAAATGTGATTTTTTTTCCAAAAGAGTACATTTAGGGCTTTTTGGTAGGCAATATACTCAGTCTTTTTAAGAACAACAAAATAAGATGGTAAAAGATTGTTCCTTGAATAATTCTGAACAAGCGACAAGCAACAAACTTCCATTATTTTCAGAGGGGCCTAAACAAAGACCACTTTTTCAAAATGACATTTTGGTGAAAATTTGTGAAAACTAAACCTGAACCGATATTTACGTTCGTGACATGTTTTCTTTATAATTTTGACCTCCTGATTGTGATTCAGTTGTCAAATTTAAGTTTCAGATAAAACAAAAATCATCAAGAATCAAAATTCGAAAACATTTCTCTGTTGTTAAATGTCTTAATAAAATCCGATTGCTGTCGTGTTTCTTGCATATTTATGATGAAAATGCCATTTGGGGATTCATTTTTTGTTCGAAATTACTGAAATTTGTTTGAGTGGTTAGGATAATGTTACATAACTTACATTTACATTGCGCAGTAGTGATAACATCATTGATAAGTACCTACCTAATGGTAATAATGTTAAATAAAAATATTTTTGTTCATTTTTGAAAATTGTATGCTTGGATATAATCATAATCAAAACTTCAACATTCAACAGAAAAATGTAACAAACAATAACAATAATACCTTTCAATATTTTGTTGGCCCTCCCCTAAGCCGTAATAATTCGTTCCCTCGACCAAGTTCCTTAGAAATTTCTGGGGTACCCCATTCTTCCTGAATAGCATTTACCAATTCATCCAAATTTTCCATGCCTCCTTCCCTTTCTTTTATTTTCAATTTTATCCTGCTCCACACATGCTCAATAGGATTCATATCCGGAGACAAAGGTGGCCAATTCATTTTCTCAATATGGTGGTCCCTTAAATACTCATTTACGATATGTAAAAAAAACAGTAAAAACCAGTAATCGGATTTTATTGACACATTTAACAGCCGGGAATTGTTTTCGAATCTTGATTCTTAGTGATTTTGGTTTTATCTGAAACTTAAATTTGACAACTAAATTACAATCAGGAGGTCAAAATTATTAAGAAAACATATTACGAAAGTAAATATCGGTTTAGGTTTATTTTTTGCAAACTTTCACAAAAATGTCATTTTCAAAAAGTGGTCTTAGCTTAGGCCCTCTGAAAATAATGGAAGTTTGTTGCTTGTCGCTTGTTCAGAATTATTTAAGGAACAATCTTTCACCATCTTATCTTCTTGTTCCTAAAAAGACTGAGTATATTGCATACAAAAAAGCCTTAAATGTACTCTTTTGTAAAAGAAAATCATATTTTCGTTGCTAAGATTCCAATTCGAAAAATTTGAAAAGCGTTTCAAGGTAACACATAAAACTTCACTATTTCAAAGTAAAAACGAAAAAAAAATTATTTTTTTACAAACGGGGCTTGGATAAAGTTATTGAAATTTTTCACCGTTTAACATATCACCCTGTAGGAAATTTTCTTGACCAACCGTGAGCTTCATATCTATAGCATAAATTGCCAGAGGATGAGGCTAGCAGACATCACAAACCAAAATAAAATTGTTCAAGAAACAAAAAAGTTATGTCGATTTGAAAAAGAACGAACTTTTTGGTCGCGACACATTGAGTGGTGCGCAGTTTATTTTAAATCCGTTTCCCTTCGGATAAGATAATTGCTGCATTTAGGTGTAATTCTCGATTCTTTTGACATTTAATTACTTTAAAGCAAAGTAAAGGCATTTAGACAAAAGAAATCTTCAATTCATGTCTTTCTGTCAAAATTTAATGTTATTGCTAGAAATACCACGGTTTTGTGCCAAACTACACTGATAAACATGGATTATTTTAGGCAAAAGAATCCATTCATTTGAAAATTATTCTTTTAGTTTAAAGAAAGTTAACTTTTTGCAAATTCTTTGGCATTTGACTAAAATAGGTGATGCATTTAAGGCAAACTCTTGATTCTTTTGGCTAAATCCTTTTTAATAACTTTATTTCAAGAACAAAGCATTTGTCGGAAATCACTCGGTAATTTGATAGTTCTTGCAACAATGAGTGTCCTTCAGTATCAGTCCACGCGTCGCGTCCACAGTACTTCGTCAAAGGTGTTAATCTCGCGCGAATAAATAACTAGTGTGATACTTTTTCTATGGTTATAAATCAAGATTATTTGTACCATAGTGTTATAGATCGAGATTATAGGTACCATAAAGGAACTGCTTAAACTTTGGGATTATTCATTTATTTCCAAAATTTTGAGGTTTAATTTTATAGGTAATGTATTCTTATTTTTAAAATATTAATCGATTAGGAATGTAATATAGAAAAATACCTAATTAATAAGCTAAAATCGACTAAAATATAATTATTTCATGCAAATATTATCATTCTGTAAAACGCTTTCTTAGAACAGGAAAATAAAAATGGCTACCTATACCTTCTCCCAAAGATTAAAATTTTGTAAGAAAATAATGCGGTAT